TCAACATTTCATTGTGTACAGTCTTTAAACATTTCATGTTCATACATAACTACGGAAGCGTATTGCTGCCACTTGAAAAAAAAATATTGTAAGTCGTACGTACGACATAATAAGTCGTACGTACGACATAGTAAGTCGTACGTACGAGATACTAAGTCGTACGAACGATATACTATGTCGTACGTACGACATACTAAGTCGTACGTACGACATAATAAGTCGTACGAACGACATACTAAGTCGTACGTACGACATAATAAGTCGTACGTACGAGATAATATTAAGTCGTACAAACGACATAATAAGTCGTACGTACGACATACTAAGTGGTACGAACGAGATACTATGTCGTACGTACGACATACTAAGTCGTACGTACGACATAATAAGTCGTACGAACGAGATACTAAGTCGTACGAACGAGATACTAAGTCGTACGAACGAGATACTAAGTCGTACGTACGACATACTAAGTCGTACGTACGACATAATAAGTCGTACGAACGAGATACTAAGTCGTACGAACGAGATACTAAGTCGTACGAACGAGATACTAAGTCGTACGTACGACATAATAAGTCGTACGTACGACATAATAAGTCGTTCGTACGACATAATAAGTCGTACGAACGAGATACTATGTCGTACGTATGACATAATAAGTCGTACGTACGACATAATAAGTCGTACGTACGAGATACTAAGTCGTACGAACGAGATACTATGTCGTACGTACGACATAATAAGTCGTACGAACGAGATACTAAGTCGTACGTACGAGATACTAAGTCGTACGTACGAGATACTAAGTCGTACGAACGAGATGACATAAACCCCTTGTAGCCATGTGCTTATGTTACTTATACGATATAATATGTAGTTATTCGGTTTTCTTTATAATATCATGAATAGACGGGCGTGCCAATAGTTGTGCTTTTGATTACTAAAACGGAACAACCTAAATTTCATATACATATGTAACTTCAATCTATTTAACAGTTAAAAAAATCAAATTTACACTTTGACTAAGACGTCCTATCCAAAGCAGCCCCCCTCCACCCCTCAAAGAATCTGATAATTTGATACGTTTTTATCGAAAGAATATTATAAATTTATTAAGCTTTTCAGGGGGTACCGATGTGGGTGAAAAGTACAAAAATCCCGAAAATGAAAAATATTTCTTTAATTATATCATGTATATGGTTTATATTTATGTTTAATGTCCTTTTAATTAGAAAAGCTCGGATGTTTTGATACTGACATTCAACATTTTTACTGTGGCCTGGTTCGAATCACCTGGTGGCACACGTTTACTTCTATAAAAACAAACTTGTATATTTCACTTCATTTTCCTCTATAAATGATTTATTTTTCTTTAGAGATAAACGACATTTATGAGAATGTAGACCAGAAATATTATTCTCTAAAAATTATCCCACAGTGTAAGCATTAATTGTTTGAGGACAATAATTATTCATTCTTCCTCACGATGAAGGAGTCACACACAAACGCCCCCCCCCCCCAAAAAAAAGAGAAAAAACACAAAACATGAATGACATGCGGTTGATCCTATAGTATCCACCCCACCCCCCACCCCCCAAAAAAAAAACAAACAAACAAACAAACAAATAAACAAACAAAAACAATAAATGCGTGAATAATCTAATACATTTAATCTCGGAAAAGTTTCCAAACGAATAAATTAAAATGAAATCGCAGAAGTAGTAAATGATCATGATGTGAGGGACAGAATATCTTGTAGATTTGATTTTAAGAAGATTATTTATCTATTAAGCGAAGATAAAATTTTTCTAACAGGTTTTACGTATATGATCAGCTTGAAGACCCGGGGCCGTAACAGAAAGCATGCTATTTAGATTTTAAATGACTTTAAGCAAAGTTGCCACCCTAAAATTAATATATACATTGTATACATGAAATGTTTCTTTATCAAATAAATAAGCCGTAAACTATAATATGATACGAAAAAAATTGATTTATTTCAGCTCTTAAATTTGATCATTTTCATATGGAGCTCTTCTTCTAAAGGAGAGCAATATTGTCTAAAATGGCCACGACACCCCCCCCCCCCCCTCGCCCTCTTAAGCAGGGTTGCGCATACAAAGTGCTCACCCAGAAAAATAAAGAAATTAAGATTTCTTGCAGTGACATAGCATCGTTTTTGAAAGGGGAAAGGGGGCAGCCAAATAAAAAAAACTTACCTGAAAAAGTTGACAAGTAAAAAATTGCCCTAACAAGAAAACATTATTTTGGGGAGGGGGGGGTCTTTTTAAAGTTCCAACTTCTTTCAGTACAATTTTCCCCCATATAATACTACATGTACATTACCCTTATTTCACTTTACTGTATCACAAAGTGGGGGAAGGGGCAACCGGCCTTTCAATGCAAATTTTAAACAATAATATTGCTACGTGCCTGTTTTAGGAATATGCATATCTATACATTGTGTCCTAATTATCTACAATTTTTCATGAAATTTTATGCAGCTGTTTAAGAATAATTATGCTTATAAAAAAATAAAGAGATAAAAAAAGGACTGACGGACTAACTGACGTGCCAAAGACATTATACCACTCGCAACTTGTTGTTATAAAAGTAATTTATAATTTCTCTCTACATTTAAACACTCTTTCAGACTTTCTAGACGATATCCTAAATAGCCATTTACTCTTGATCATGCCATTTTAAACCCGAAATTAATAAGGCTTTGAAAATATGCAGGGTCACGGGTAGAATAAATATATCATATTGAATAACATCTTTATCCTTCCTAGTCTATAATTTATGAATTGTAATAAACAGTTTTGCAGATAAATATGAAATAAACAATGGAAAATCCCAAGTTTGAATCGGGAGGTGATAAACTTGCTTGATTTGAATTTTCTGCAATCCAACAGACAATTCAAATCAAGGGAGTTTATCGCCTGTAGAAACGAATATAAAGGGCTAGAAGGTTGATAAAATAAACATATTGGTTAAAAAATGTGTTTAGAATTAGGAATAGACCAATGCTGGAAAGTGTGAAAATTATCTCGTTCGTACGACTTATTATGTCGTACGTACGACATAGTATCTCGTACGTACGACATAGTATCTCGTACGTACGACATAGTATCTCGTTCGTACGACTTAGTATCTCGTACGTACGACTTATTATGTCGTACGTACGACTTAGTATCTCGTTTGTACGACTTATTATGTCGTACGTACGACTTAGTATGTCGTACGTACGACATAGTATCTCGTTCGTACGACTTAGTATCTCGTACGTACGACTTATTATGTCGTTCATATGACATGGTATCTCATTTGTACGACTTAGTATCTCGTACGTACGACTTATTATCTCGTTCGTACGACTTATTATGTCGTACGTACGACTTATTATGTCGTTCGTACGACTTAATATTATGTCGTACGTATGACTTGTTATGTCGTTTGTACGACTTATTATGTCGTATGTACGACTTAGTATGTCGTACGTACGACATAGTATCTCGTTCGTCCGACTTAGTATCTCGTACGTACGACTTACTATGTCGTACGTACGACTTACTATGTCGTACGTACGACTTATTATGTCGTACGTACGACTTACAATATTTTTTTTTCAAGTGGCAGCAATACGCTTCCGTACATAACAGTAATAGTACATGAAAATATTACGTTCTATTACACTTTCTTAAAAAAATGCGGTCTCCATTGTCTTTATCTAAACAATTTCTTCTGGGGTTGTGAAAACTATTCCCATACTACTCATGTATATTTAATGTTTCTTTTGCTTTATTACTAGTTTTGCCTGTTCAATTTCCAGCATTTTCATCTCCACTTCTAACCTTTCTTTATCCACCTTCAGCATTTCTCTCTGTATTTCCAGCAAGTCCTCACCATATGGATCTTAACCCTTTCTCTTCCGGCGCATTTTACATGATTTTGGAGGCCTTTTGACATGGCATTATTAAATTATTTCTAACTTTTTTATCCAAGGAGAGAGCTAGGCATAATGCATACCATTTTTTAGGAAATTTCTTAGAGATGATATTTTTTGACTACTTAGATACTCAACTACTGGCCTTATTAGTAAAAAATGAGGTCAAAGGTCAATTAAGTGCAAAATTTTATGGAATTCTTTGATACTTTTTAATCTATAAGCTAAATATTAAGTATGATGTAAGTTGAAATAGGAAATTTGGTATATACCCACAAAAGAGCATTATACCGTACTACATGAAACACATAAACTTTTTTTTTTCAATTTTGCATATAACTACTTAAAAGGGGTTGCTAAGCAACGCAGAATTCTTTAATTTTCAGGCAGAAATTTTCATTTTTTTACTCATCCTAAGACATATTTATGCATCCCAGCTAATATAAAAGTTAGATGTGAGGTCATAAAGTTACAAGGGTCATACAACAGATAAATTTTCTTAAAGTTTAGACCTTATTAGAACTATTTTTAGGAGGTCAAAGGTCAAATAAGTGCAAAAGTTTCATCAATTTTTTTCAACACTTTTCAATATTCTTGCCATAATTTTACACAGTGGATGCTGAAATGGAAAATTCTGAATATACTCTCAAGAAGGGATCAGAACTGTAATATCCATGTATCATTTTAGTCCAAATATCTGTTAAATGACCTTTAAGTGGTTGCTAAGCAACATCATTTTAAAGTTTTTGGCTATATACATGTTTGTTATTTCACATACTGGACACATTCTAGACACTTTTTTGTATAATTCATGATATTGTTTGTAAGATATGGTCCATAAAGATGAAAGAACATTTTTGTATTAAAAATTGACCTTGACACTCTTTTTCTTCAGGGGGTCAAGGTCATATCAGTACAGAATTCTGCTTTATATTGTAAGTAAATAACAATTTTGAAATGCTTCAATCATGGATAAATCATTTAATAGTTGACGAAATAAAAATGGGGAACGACAAAATTTGCAAGTAAAGAATTCTGGTCTGCTTCTTACAAACAGCTTGCAAAACAGGTATACAATCATTTCTGTTAAACAAGAAATCCATTCTCTTGATGCAATTAAAAAGAATCTTTATTTTCATGGATTTAATCTAACAAGAAAAATAAACTAAATGATTTCATTACAAGATTTTTCTGGTATAACAGAGCTTAAGGGGTACAATAAAGACTTGACATGTTAACTTGGAGGGAAATAATAATAAAAGATAGCATTGGCAATATTTAATGCAAAACTGTTTAGTCAATAAGTTGAAAATGTGACGTTTATATCCAAATATACAAATCCAGAAATATTGCAAGACGAATTCCAAGTCAGACTGAAATCTTCAACAAAATGTTGAAGAGCACTTTTACTTTGTGTCCACCATTCTTTTATCAACTGTCATTTCTCTGTAAGACTGGAGGAAATTCTTTGACTTGTCCAAGACATTGTTATTTGCTGTCAAGTACAAGTGATCAGCTTCTATCCTGTAAAAGATTTAAATAATTTGAAACAGATACATGTCATTGTATATATGAATTTATATTTATAAATTAAATTAAAAATGCTTAAGTAACTACATGTACATTTATTTTATTTTCCTTTTAAAATTAAAATTGTGTTTATTATGTGATTCAAGTTACGTTACGTCAATGTATCAGGACAGATAATTCAACAACCTTGTAAAAACCATTATGGTAAAATTACTGAACTAAAACAAATAGCATATTTGGCAATCTGACTAAAGCCAGACCTCTGTTTATGCTATTGCAACATATAAAAAAATCTGGCAGTGGATGGAAGATCTAATTTTAATTAGATTGCTACGAAAGCCATGAAGGGACACGTCAATTTTTCAACAAAGTAAAAAATGAGATCTCGAATTAGACAATCCAATCCCACGGATTACTAAATCGTTCCCTCGATTTATATTTCAAGATCTCGAATTACACAATCCGATCTTACGGATTACTAATTCGCTCCCTTGATTCATAATTTGAGATCTTGAATTACATACCGGTAATTCGTTTTCACAAATTAATAATTCGAGATCTCGATTTGTTACGTCAGTCTCATGATTTTGGCAATCTGTGTTCTTGAATTTCATTACATATATGTACAGATACATCCAACCATTTTAATCAATTAGTGCGTTCTATTTATTTTGTTTCAGCAACCGGTCGTTTCCAACCTCTTTCATAACTAATTCAACGTATATTTATTTTAGAAATATTATGATTACACAGGACCCATATTCACTTTTACTATTTAGGACTTTCAATATGGATTTGAAATTGTTCATGTATTTTTCTCATTTTGGACAGTAACTAAAAAATAAGGTATCATTTTTAAACATCTATCGGGATGTAAATACGGGTTGGTCACGAGATTAAATTCCATAAAGCCCGAAGGGCTTTATGATGAATTTAATCTCGTACCAACCCGTATTTATAGCCCGATAGATGTTTTAAAATGATACCTTATTACTTATATTTACATTTGTGACTCATTCACACTTTCTATTTGCCTGAATGTGGCTTTTAACGTATAAAATGCATTATTTTTCAAATCCAACGGCAAGTATGTAATCCACTGAACGCGCGTCGATCCTTTATGACGTCACTAAAAAATTACGTCAAACGATTATCAATACCCACATCTATGACCTCTTGACCCCGTACCTGTATTTATACAGTTATAGATACGCATTCCTTTTAGTAGTGTTATATAAAGGAAAACATTTGCAAATGTAAATATTATGTAATAAAAGGTAGGATGTAAAATACTACAATATTCTATTTTTTAAACATGTATTACCATATCCGATATGTACAGATAAATAATTTTAATGAAATCATGGGAAGGGTTTACATTACGAGGGAACGAATTGTTTAAACTAAGAGAATGAATTATACAATTTGAGATAACAGATTGTCATCTTCGCTAGCCAAGGGTTTCTGATACGCTACTCTCCTCATAAACCCTTGGCCTACGGTGTTCATAGAAATGGGGATTTTTTTTTCCAGAGTTCTAATTGGATTTCAGTACACCCAGGTCGACCAATCAGCAATTGTTTTTTGTAAATGACGAAATTTGCGTTCGGGATACATCTTCACTTTTTAATCTCGGAAATGAAAAACGCAAGTAAATAACGATCCGTAAGATAACATCCAATTCTATGAATAGCCATGGTGTCATCCAATATCTTCTAAATATGTGATTAAGAATCTATATTGAAGCTTCAGATTTGTTCTATAAATAATGAATAAACGTAACTCAATTATTGCTTCTTATTTATTCTTTTAAAAACTTTGATTTAATTTTTTTTTAACACGTGTCTTTATTTCTGGCGATGACGCAATCTGTGCGTACCTTATAGATTCGAGATCACGTGACGGAAAACAATCCCGTCTTTTGACTTCACCGTATGCCAAGGGTTTATGCGGAGAGTAGCGTATCAGAAACCCTTGGCTAGCGAAGATGACAGATTGTGTAATTTGAGGGAACGAATTGATAATCTGTGAGAATGAATTGGCAATTTGTTACATCAAATTCGAGAGAACGGATTGTATTAATCAAGAACTCGGTTTACTTTTATAAATTTTTAAAAATTCTATGTCCCTTCATGGCTTTCATAGATTGCATACCTGCATGGCTGCCAGGGTTGTAAAAAGAAAGGAGACAATTGACTGCAAATGTTACTTCAGGGCAAAATCCCTGGGTCAAGGTTGTCCGTGAGCATGGGAGTGTTGATAAACCATCCAGTGAGTTTGACCACCCATGTATATGTAGGATAATTGGAAAGTGTCTGAAAAATTGAGAAAATGGAAATTCTAACCACATACTTTATGCAGATTGGAAATACAACAGCAGTCTATAAAAAACACCTAGTTTCATATCTCGGCATTCATTCAAATAGATATTATGTGTTTAAATAATGTGTTTGTATGAATAATCAAGCACCAGTATTATGTGTTTCAAACACTAATTTTTCAAAATATAATAAAATCAACTGTTTATAAACTTGTATGAATGCAATATCATGAGAATGACACAAATGAAATTTGACTTTATCTTTTTTTGAAATTTTAGAAATACAGAAATTTTCAGTACCAAAACAAAAATTTACCTGTTCATTGGTGTCCTTACATATTAGGCCTAATTGACCTTCGTAGTTCATGGTGGGCTTAGCAAGTGGGTATTCACAGATGAAAGTATTGTTGCATAAGATGCCAGCACTCAAAATTCAATTTGAAAGTGGTACATGTACACACTGGTACACACATACTGAAAACAACTATCCATTATTTTGGCAACTTTGATTTTACTTTGAACTTACGAGTAATTGTCAAAAGCATCAAAGTTCAAAAGCAACACAAAATTGGCTGAACGATACGAAATATGCACACTGAAACATGAAGATCTAGTACATGTGTACATTTAGTTTTCTTTTGAACGTGAACTAATGCGTTTTAAACTTAAACTATTTAGTCAATATACACGTATTCTCACCTGCTAATACCAAGGGCATGTCCGTATTATTTGATTCTCTGATGTGATGATATTCGTCGTGAAATAATCATGAAAATTGACGTTCAGATAAAAATAATTCGGATCACCATCATGTTGTTTACACCACAGCGGAAACACGTGGTTATTTCAATTCGTATCAACTCATACAGTGATGAGTTGTATCTATTTATAAATGCTAGTTTTTGTATTGTTAAATTTCGTGCCAATATAGATATAATTAAATTGCGAATTAAGTATACAGTATAACAAGATACAACAATATTAAAAATCTGATTTTTTATAGTAAAGATTGACTTAGGGAATCTACAATTTTTATCAACATTTTATCAGGCTACATGAAATATACATCATTACATGTAGATGAATAAATTAACATTTCACTTCACAAAAGGCAGAACGATAGTATATATTTGTATTTTGAAATCTTATTTTTTTTTGTATTATGTATTTATTTCAGTAAAAAATATATTTAAATGGTCAAAAAAGTCTAATAAAAAAAATGTTGTTTTGAGTAAGACGCTACAATATCGACCTTGACGTTGAATGTAAATATTGACCGATTTTTCCATAAAAACTATGCGAAGGACACAAATTCAAATTATCGTAATTAAGAAAATATTGAGCGTAAGAAAGCCAGTAAGGGCTTGTTGGAAAGGAAATTTTCTCTACTTTTACCAGCTTTATTTTGTTTTCCCTATTTCAACACAGAAATAAACGTAAAACTGAGCTTTGTTTAAACAATACGAATAAAATCGAGAAAAAACACATAAGTGCAAGAAAATTCTTGTTTTTAAAATATACTTTAAAGTAATAACAATAATTTTTACATATTTTTAAAGCAGAGAAAATATGCTTTAAGAATATACCATACTTTCTTTATAAAGTTAATCAGGAAAAAAATGTCAATCATCTAGAAAATCGGCAATTGCTTTGGAAAATTTCGCCATTTTCAAAAAGTCACGTTTGTCTTCACAACGTAAAATCAATTAAATACCGGCAATCAAGACATAATCTTTTTAGATATTTTAAAAGTAGAGAAAATTTCCAAAAAGTTGATATATAGTTTATATACCTTCATGTTACCATAAAATAGATACAGAGATCTTATTTTCGCGCAGTCTTGTTTTAACGCGCCCCCGGTCAATTTGACCGATACGGAAGTGAAGGGGTTAAGAGGAGTTCTTCTTTTCTCGTGTCTGTGAACTCTTAGCATCAGTGGTGTCTAAATGTATATGTACATAACTGCTATACGCCTGACTTTTTTTAGTTTGAGGTGTGAAAAGGTTAAATTATTTTGGTATAATTTACCTGAGAAATTACTCGCTGAGGCCAATACTGTCTGTGATACCTCAGGGGGATGCAGTAAGGTACTACTAGTAGTTTGTGGAATGCTCTATAGAGAATCCTTAGATACAGGGGTTCCTTTGTATCCAGTCCTTCTATGACCCCGTCTTTTGGCATGTCCCTACTGTGTCCTCCAGCGGAGTAAGCGACGGAGTAAGTTGCCCTGCAACTTTTTTTTTAGTTTCGGACATGTAAATTGTCCACTTTTCCGCATTTCCTAGACGGTCCGTGTATGCCAATTGGTGGAGCATTCATTCACTTTTTTCGCAAATGGAGTCTATAATGCGTTTTTTGCAATTATGTATTGTCAATTTAGATAAGTTTGCAAACAAAACGGCTTTATTTTTCTCCACTTACTTCAGCAGAATTTGGAGCTCCGGTTCATCTTCGTCTAGGAAAGTCCTATGCTTAACCGAGAATCAGTACAAACAAACAGTAACTTCATGTAAAACCGTGAACTCATCATTTTTTTCTTTTAATTTCAGAAAATGTCACTTTTAATTTGTTTACCACATTTATTGTCTTCAACGAACACTAGACTGCTTTTTCTATAGACATATATAGTGCTTTGTCTCACATTTGGCAGCAATTAATTTTTTTGAAAAATTCAAATCGTTTTAATCTCACTCTATTTTACCTTTTATAAACTTCAAAACATATTGTTCTCCATCTTTTGCAATACAAATACATGTCTAGTGCTTGATTTTACACTTGGAAGCAATTTTTTTTTATAATTTTAAATCACATGCATCTCACTCTTTTTGATCTTTAAGAAATTTCAAACAATTTCAATGACATTCTTTTTCTTTCAAAATACAGAAACTGTCCGTTAGAAGCAATTGAAATTTTGTGAACATATTAAATCATTGAAATTTTATTTCATTTGATTTGTAAGAAACTCCAGACATTGTATGATGTTTTTTTTTTACTTTTAAAAGACCATTAATGTCCATGTTTAAATAAATTGAAGATATCTTAAACTCTTTGAAAAATCAAATTTTTTAAACTTTATTTAATTTTACTACAAGAAACCCATTTTATGTTGTTTGTCCTCAAAAGTAATTGAGATTGTTTTAACAATTGAATGCAATTCCCGTTCATTTATTGTTTTAATTCTAGTCTTTCTTTTTACAATTAAGGCAATCAAAAGAGTGAGCCATGAGAAAAACATCATTTTCAAATCGTCATCATTTGATTAGTTCATTCAATACCACGTCTCATATAAATCGGACGGAAGACCCACTCATTTCTTTTCTTTATAAATTTTGTGCAGAATGAATTTTCCAGACATTTTGCATCATAATTTTTAAAGTATTAATATTTTGTTAAATATAGTGAACAATATCTGTGCAAAATGACAAGATCTTTAACATGATATCAAGAAAAAAGTGCTTATTCATTAGATTGGGGCAAAGAGGGGCCAAAGTCTGCATTAAATAGCTTTTTAAAAGTTAATATTTTGTTGTACAATACTGAAGCAAAAATGATTATCTCTGTAGTCTACAACTATATATAATGATTTTGTATCATATGGTACATAAATAGAGACGACAAGAGGCCAGAAAAAGAAATCTTTGATGTTTATATATCGAAAGTGGAAAATATTTTGATGTAATATTGAACAGAACAGAAGATGTTCAAAATAATGTTCTGAACAATATACAACCTTTCATTTGTCGCTTACCTTCCCAATTGAGGAGTTAAAGAGTATGCCCCTTAATATTTCTTTTGCAACTATTTCGGAAACAAAACAAAAGAATTTCTGAAAACCTCTTAAACAAAAAGTGTTTAAAATTCTTAGACCTTTGAATTAATTTCGAGAAAAAGAGGCTAGGCACTCAAATTAGGGGTCGAGAAGGGGCCAAAAGGATTAAATCGATAACTCTTTAACAGTCAATATGTTTGTAATTACTGAAACAAAAATGTTTATCTCCGCAATCTACAACTACATAATTATTATGATTTTTATTTCATATGTTACAGAAATAAGGACGAAAAGTCTTAAGAATGCTAAATCTAAATCTTTGACACTTTAACCACAAAAGTGAAAATTTTTTGATAAGTAATACTGGACAATAGATAAAAAATATTTCTGAATATTCAGTATTTGTTGAACAAAAAGTGTCGTATGGTTCATAATTAGGGGCAACAAGGGGCCAGAATGGTAAATCTTTTATGCTTCATATCTCAAAATTGAGAAATATTTTGATAAGTAATATTGAATAAAAAATAGATGTTCAAAATAATATTCTGAACAATATTCAAACTTTAAGTTTTGATAAACATCCCCATTAAGCAGTTAAAGGGTTAGCCCCTATATATAACTTTTGCAAATATCTCGGAAACAAAAAAATATTTCTGAATATTCAGTAGTTGTTGAACAAAAAGTGTCGTGTGGTTCATAATTAGGGGCCACAAGGGGCCAGAATGCTAAATCTTTTATGCTTCATATCTCAAAATTGAGAAATATTTTGATAAGTAATATTGAATAAAAAATATCATGAAGAACATTACTTTATAATCTGTCATTTTTTTATATAACGTCCTCATTAAGGAGTTGAAAGGTTGGTCTCTTGATATTTCTTTTGCAAATATCTCGGAAACAAAAAGAAGCAATGAATAGTTGTTGAACAAAAATGTTTAAAATCCGGAGAACTTAAGTTAAAATCAAGAAAAAGGGGCTGGGTACTCAAATTAGGGACTGAATGGGGCCAAAAGTCTAAAACCAAAATCTTTTTCACAGTCAATATATCAGCAATCTACACCTATATATTATGCGTTTTACTTTATATGTTACATTAATAGTTGCCACAGGGGACCAGATTGCTAAATCTTTGTTGCTTTATATCTCCAAAGTGGGAATTATTTTGATAAGTAGTATTGAAAAAAAAAATATTTGAATTCTTAAGAGCTTCAAGGTAAAAAAAAAAATAAGAAAGGTCTTGCGTAAAATTATGGGCCGAGAGGGTCTGAAATCTTTGAATCGATAACTCTTTAACAGTGAATATTTTGATATACATTACTGAAGCTTAAAGGTTTATTTCAACAATCTACATCTATAGAATATCATTTTTTATGTCCTGTGTTACATAAGTAGGGGTTTCAAGGGGCCAAAATGCTTAATCTTTGATGTTTTATTTCTCGAAAATGGGAGTTAATTTGATAAGTAATATTAAACACAAATAATAAACAATAGGTACCACTATGCAACCTTTCATATATTGCTAAGCGTCCCCATTTGGGAGTTGAATGACTGGCCTTTAAATATTTCTTCTGCATATATTTTGGGAACGAATAGTTTTTTTTAATAATTGTTGGACAAAAATTTTTTTAAAAGCATGAGAACTTTAAGATGATGTGAA